GCCTTGAAGAGGTGATTAGATTGTAGGATCATGCAGTAGTGAATGGGTTAATAATGGTGGTCAAAGGCTTGGTTCTGAGGGCTTTGAAAAGAAGAGTACATGAGAAGTTCTCTCTCTCTGCTCTGTGTTAGTCCATTTTCTGCGAAATGAGACCCTTGGCTCACTGTCGCCACCACCAAGGCCTTCACCAAATAGTGTTCCCTGGACTTTGGACTTCCCAGCCTCTGAAACTGTAAGCCATAAATTTCATTTTCTTATGTTACCCAGTTCCAGGTATTTTAAGTAACAGTAATGGACTAATACACTGGTTGCTTTGAAATTTGTCATCTTCCCAACACATTTGCCGAACATTTCCTTGGTTGCATTGCTTGACACTTAATCTTTTACATGTATCTCTGTAAAAAAGCATAGCAAAGTATCATATACTTTTATTTTTCTTTCTTAGGTCCTGTTAGTACTTAGTTATTGCTTTGCAAGAATCTAATGACCACTCAATTGAGGCTATTATTTCAATTATGAATATTTGCTTCACTAATGTCTGACTGTGTGCCTCTCTGTAAACACTTATAACAAACCTTTGTGAAGTACAGTACATATCATGAAAACTTCTCCATGCTAACCTATACATTTTGAAGATGTTTTAAATGACAATTAAACTCAACTTTTTTGCTGACAGTGCACATAAGTCAGCTGAAGTGAGGACATCATGAATAGCACAAATACATATGACTGCTGTCTGGCCAACAGTAATTACAAGAAACCACCAATTTTGAGATGCATCTTAATTTTAGAGATGTTAGAAAAGTTTGTAAGTTACCATTGATAAAATATGGTATTGCTTCTGCCCAAATTCTTTCTTCCCTCTTTCTGGAACTTAGAAGAAACATATATTAGATTTTCTCACTCTTTCCTGCATGCTGGTTCCTGAGCTGTTCTCTGAATAGTTTCTTCTCACCTATCCTCTATTTCACTAATTCTTTTTGTGGGTCTGATCTGCTGCTAAAGTAATACCTTATTTTAAGTTTCAGTCATTGTGCTTTTTATTTCTAGAAATTTCATTTGATTCTTTTTCAAATTGGTTGTTCGCTTTTTCTAGTTTTCTATCCCTCCAGAAATTTTCAAGAATACCATTTATTGATTGATTGATTGATTGATTGTCTTTTTCGTGACCGGTAAGGGGATCGCAACCCTTGGCTTGGTGTCGCCCGCACCGCGCTCAGCCAGTGAGCGCACTGGCCAGTCCTATATAGGATCCGAACCCGCGGCGGGAGCGTCGCTGCACTCCCAGCGCCGCACTCTCCCGAGTGCGCCACGGGGCTGGCCCAGAATGCTATTTATTTTTTAAAATATACTAATTCTAATATCTGAAGTCTCAATAGGTCTCTTTCAGTTCTCCTTTATTTATACATGTTTTGCCTGTGTTCCTGTGTTTTCTTGGTTATCTTTCTCTTTGCCCTTGCAACTTTATTTGGAGAGTCCTGGAGGCTTAGAATGAAGGTACCTTCTTTTAGGGAGGATTTACATTTGCTTTTATCAAGGAACCTAGGATCATTTCAACTGAAATCATACCTTGAAGTTCTCTGGTGAATCCAAGTGTTGAGAACCTGGTCTGCAAATCCCCATGAGGGCCAGTCTGTGGCTGAAGATTTTTGGGATGGAGGTTCTCCCCTTTTCCCTTTTTCCTTTCCTTTCCTCCCCTGCTCTTCTTAGTGTCAAAGCAATCTTCACTGAAGTCCTAGAGGTGGGGTGGGGAATGGGGAGGACAGGTTTATAGCTCTTTAAAGTCCAACTTAAGGTGGAAAGGGTTTTCTAGTAGATACCCTATCTTAGGTGGGGCTCTGAGCCTTGACTTCTAAGCCCCTTGCCTTTGATGTTTCAGAAATGAAGCTTAAATTTGTTGACTGGCAGATGTCCTCAAGGCAAAATTTCTTTATATGTTATGTGACATTCTGCTTATCAGAGAGGTAAGCACTGGGTTTTTTTACTTCACCCAGAATTTGGCCTGACAGTTTCCCATTATCTTGTCAACTCAGTGCTTTAAATGATTGCATTTTAAAAAAAATTCTACATTTTCAGTTCTCAGCGGGATGGATGGACTCAACTAGTGATTCTCAACTGGGGATGCTTTTTCTCCCCAAGGGATATTTGGCAATGTCTGGAGACATTTTTGGTTGTTAGAACTGGTGTTTGGAGAGCTACTGGTAGATACCAGTGATGCTGCTAAACATGTTATGATGCAGAGGCAGCCCCCCACAACAAAGAATTATCTTGTCCCAAATGTCAATAATGCCAAGGTCTAAATAACCTAGCCTTCCATTACTGAGAATAGAAGTTCAAGAAGATAGTTTATAATTTCAAAATTTGAGGCCTTAATAAATTGTTATAGTTCACAACTTTTGTTTCATACTAAGTAATTTATATCAAATTTCATATTCTAACTACAGAAGATTTCCTACACCAGTTTTTACTCTTCATGAGTATTACTATCAAGGTCACATTTTCATGTAGTGTTTTATCCTGGTACTTGTTGGCAGGATCAGGACTAGGGGTGAAGTGAGTGAGGCACTTGCCTTAGGCACAAAATCCACAATGAACAAAATATCAAAATTTTAAATAAAGACAGAATCACTAACAGTGCTTTACTGTATTTGGAACCTGAGGCAAAAGAAAAATCAGTAATGTTATTTAAAATTTTGATATTTTGTTTGTCTTAGATTTTTTTATATTAATTTTGATTATTTAAAATATTATTTACTGTGATTGCTGAGTTTTTTGGCACCCCCTTAAATGTGTGCCAGGCAAGTGTATTGCTTTCCTCATTTTGGTTTTTGCCCTGTTTGCTGGTGAGTTATTCTGGCTAGGTAGGTCACACAGACTGAGGGACAGGGGTTGACACCAAATTTTATTTCTAGGACAGGACAGGTGCTAGGGTTGCTGTCCTAATACAGGGGTAGGGGAAGATTTGGAGGACAATAATGTTGATGTTCAAATTTTCAATGATCTCTATTTATAATTCGAGTAAAGACTCTTGTTCAGGGGACCCAGGGTAAAGTCACAAGGGCTCCCACAGGTGCACCAACTTGGTCATCAGAGTAAGAAACTGAGCAGGTGTATAGGAAGAAGACAATTGGTGTCTTTAGAAGGGAGGCATAACCACCAGGTTTGAGGTCACAGCTATCAGGATTAGCTAGGGTTCCTGTTGAGGGGAACTGAAAGATCATGGCTTAACATGAAAAGGAAAAGGGTAATGAGAACTCATTCATTCTGACTGGGTATGTAAGAGGCAAAGAAAGCCTCAGAAACTTTATGGCAGCCCTGTTTATCATAGAGAAGGGGCAAGGCTCAGGAGACAGCATGGAAACCAACTGACCAGCATTTACCATCCTCACCTCCTGTGCTCCCTACTTCAATGAGGTTAATGACTAAATGGTAAGAGGTACTACGTATGCATTGAAGGAAGTTAGATATTTCTTACCTCAGCCAAAATTAACTCAGATACAAGGGTAGTACAGAGCCTACAGATGGGTGTTGGGAGCATTGGTGGACACTTATGGGGGTTGGGGGAGCCCGAGGCAGGAGAAATTAAGTGAGAGCAAGTGTTGGAAAGTGTTTTGAAGCATTTATTTCTAAACTGTTAAAGCAAAAACCCATTTTCTTCTATTAAACCAGCTATCCATGTGTTATCATAAGCACTCATGAACTTTCACTGTGTTGATACAATGACTATCTTCTGGTATTGGTGTTCCCATGCTTTTTTTCCTTCAGAATCTCTCAATTTCAATTCTATCACAAAAAATTTATTGTATTTTCCAGTGGGCAAAAAGTGTCCACTTATGTGTGTGTTTCTAAATTTTTTTAAAGGAAAAATTCTTCAGCATGCACGTTTCTAGGTTATGTTCTTGTTTTAGATTTCAGCACAACTTCTACTAAAATCATAAAAGGTCACTTTTGAGTTAAATGTCAAAAATCATGTTAAAACTACCTATATCTATTTGCGTTATAGAGGAAATGCTGAAGGTTTCAAAGCAATTTTTAGTGCTGGAATGTCAGAAGAGTAAATGGATGCTGGCAATCAGACAGGATTCCACAAGACAGCCCCTTGAGCCTGTTTGGTAAAACATTAGAGCTGCAAAGAATGGGCTTCGTAAGCAGTATCTGCAGAGTGAGGTACAGTCCTTGAAATACAAAGAAAGTAAAAGAAATAGAACACAGAAACATCTTTATGGAGAATAGGCCTCAGCATTACTCTGAAAGATCTTACATATTTTTTTCCTTTTTAAACAGGTGACACACTAATCAGGCATATGTCTCTTTCTTCAAAGAGGGTACCCAATATTGATGATTCTCTGTTTTCTTTTTCACGGCACATTTATCCCCAGATCCCAAAATGTTTTTGCATATTTATAAAACCAATGACAACTATAGTGTATAATTTTTGAAATGATACGCGTGATGATTTTAAAACATTCAGAATAAACTGATCACATCGAAATTTATTAAGTTAGTTGATATTAAGTGAATTGATATCCCTGAGTACATTTATGCTCATGAGGCATATTTTAGGAACCAAGTGATCTGCTTTTTTAAAAAGCTAATCATGGGCTGATGAACATAGGTCTTCGTAGACATTCTGTGACATTGGCCTGCTTGTAAGTTGCTTTATTTTTTCCCTCTGTCTCTGTCCCTTTTTTATTCCTTGTTTCTTACAGACTTATTCTGTTGTGTATATCACCATGTTAATACTGTTTTAAAGTTTCATGTTGTCATGTTGTATGCTGATTGTTTAAATTTTTCCCCTTAATTTATTATGGAAGGAATTTCTCTCTCTAAGGACTTCTGTTTCTATTTTTATTCTTTTAAAAATCTTTTTTATTTATGCTTTTTAAATAACAACTATTTGAAAATTTCTTAATGTATTTATTTTCACATTGTTTATTTTATTTTTTCACTTTCCCTTTTCTCATATTTTCTTTACTTATTTTTTTTTATAATGGCTGCAGCTATGCTATGGACATGGTGAAAGAGAGAGTCTATCACAAATGAGCAAAGGTAAGGCCTTATTCCTTAAATTTCTCTGTAATGAGTGTCTCAGTCAGTTTAAGAATGGCTTTCTAAAGTCTCTTGCTCTAGTAACACATGAGTTAACTCTCCTCAGCATACTTTCTCCTCTGAAAATGCCATATTTAGTCTTTTGGAAAAGATATTGCTTCCTAAAATTGTGTACCATCCAACTGCTATAGGTGCCTGTTTTAAAATCTGTTTTCTGAAACAGATAGTTGTTGGCTTTTGGGCAAATAGTGACAATAGAGAACCCAGAGTTAGGAAAATCTGATTTGGGAAATGATCTTCCATGTAATATGTGTAGCCTAATCTTGTTGATAATCCAGGTGGTGATGAATCTCCATTAAAAATTTTCATGGGGGCTGGCTGGTTAGCTCAGTTGGTTAAAATGAGGTGTTATAACACCAAGGTCAAGGGTTTGGATCCCTGCATAGGCCAGCTGCCAAAAATAAAAGTAAAAATAAAAAAGGTTCATAGGAGGTGGACAAATACAGGTTTTTAAGTCAAACCCTTGTAATAGCTTTTGCATCAGTTGGATCTTAATTTAGTTATTTCCTGGATGATACATTTCTCTGCCTGGCATGGTCATGGGAGCCTCCTTTGGGTTTAAGGCTCTCCTAGCTCTCTCTCTCTCTCTTTTGGATTAAAAATGTATTTATGGACATTAAGGAAAATGAAAATCTTGTTACTAGGAATTACATGATTTTAAAATATGCAAAATGGGATTTATTTTCACTAAATTGTTTCACTGTAATATTGGGTTTTTTTTAATGGTAAATTAAGGAAGGCTTTATTTTGTTATTTCTTATAGCAATCTTGTTGGAAATTCTTTGTTCTGATTGTCATTGAGTGAACAATATTTCATCTTAGAAAAGATCCAAGTGTGAAATAAGGAGACTCTATAGTAGGAAAAATATAAGGTTTGATATTAGAACACCTGCACTGGCATCTTCGCTATATTATTTAATAGCCAAGTGACCTTGGACAGATCATTAACCTTTCTTAGTTTTAGCTTCTTCGTCTGTAAAACGGGAGTGATAGTATTACAACATAGGGTTATTGTGAGAATCAAATGAAATAATATTTGTGAAAGTGCTTTACAATCTATAAAGTGTTATAGATTATTATAATTCTAAGTAATGACATGTTATTTTACTTGTATACTTGGTAAATTTTCTAAAGGCTATGTTTGAGAAGCAGTAAGGTTAAGTCACATTGCTTAAGGTCAAATTCCAAGTCTCCCTTTTATTAGAGGTAGGACCTGACCTCTTTAGCCTCACTTTCCTCTTCTGTGAAATGAGAATGATAATAATATCTATTTCACAGAGTAGTCCTGAGGATGAAGTCAGCTGACTCAAGCAAAGTACTTCCAACAGTGCCCAGCACATTCAGTGTTACCTGTCATCACCACCACCACCACCACCACCACCATCATCATCATCATCATTCTTAGATTAACAAAGGAAACTCTTTTCCTAAATTAGAGTACATATTTATCATTTATCAAGTGACCACCCTGCTGTGAAGTATCAAGGCAATTATTTAATTTTTCCTTAGTGGTGAATATATATGTAAATACAATGATGTAGTTTTCTTGACTTGAGAAAACTCATTCATGTTGTACTTGTTTTAAAGAGAAGATATTCCTGATAAGTTGTGTACATACAGCGTTTTGGCAAATTTAATTATGTTTTGAGTACGGTAAGGAAATTCAGAAAATTACTCCTGAAAATAAATCCATCAAATAATAAATGACTCTTTGAAATGTGATCACTCACTAATTTATTCATTCTTAAAATCAATTTTCACAGTGTAAAAAAGAAATCTGGCAACATTTGTGCTCATTAGTAATTTGTGAGGATTAATTAATCTATTTTAAGGGAATCACCAAAATGAGCAAAGCTGCAGCCTTGAGGGATTAGTTCAAATATGCTGGAGATAAAGGATTTAATCAAGTAATTTCTTCAGGTAAATGTCTAATATAGGGTACAGTCTGACAAGAATAAAGACTGAAGTTTGAAAACACATGAATAACTAAATGTGTGATTTTGTTGTGTACTGATAAATTTAGCAAGTTCTGGGGCAGGGTAAATTGAGATTAATTTGTAATATTCAGGTTAAAATTTTATGCTTTTTTTCTCTCTCATGCAAGCCATGACTTATACCACTTGTAGTTCAAGTATGATTGCTTTCACATTTTGTGTGTTAATAGCTTGGTGAAATGCACAACATAAAAGTGAACTAAATGATTGATGATTGCTGTATAATCCAACACTGATTTTAACCAGTCAAATGTTGGAGTCTTGGCCTAACTACAAGAAGAGTCTGAGGCTTGTGGTTTCTGTGACAACGCAAGGTCAGGTGACCTGGATATGTTCTGCCAAGCTGTTCCTGTGGAATAAATAAGCTGTTTGTAAACAGAATGGCTAAGCATTCTCTCACGAGTTCAAGTTCATGGAGTATGAAGCAGCTGGGTAAAGGGTCACAGGTGAAAGGTAATAAGTCATTTTGGGCCTGTTCTTTTGTGGAGCCTTTGGCTGCCTTTCAGACTGAGGTCTTGGAAATAGTTCACATGCAGGCCTTCTGCCAACAGACTACTGAGAGTTGGCTCAGGCAGGATTCAATTACAAAATCCTCTCTCTTTTTCTTTCTCTATGTCTTGGTGTCTGAAACTTATAAAAATGCCAGGAATTTTATGAAAACTAAGTATATAAATGAAACAACCAAATAAAATCATGTTTTATACAAAATATATTTAGAACAACTTTTCTTTTTAGGGACACAGGTCCAGAAATTGAATTTATTATGATAAATTCTTGCAAAATTGATTGCAAAAGTATATTTTAGGAAAACAGCATGTATATTAGAATAATGAAGAAGATTAAAAGTATTGGCAGAAAAACTTGGGTCAGTTGTAGGCTTTTTAAAGGGGCAGTATATCTCTGTGCCACCTAAGCCACCAGAAGCAGTCTTTAAACACTCTAATGAGATATTTTAATTAATGAGTTCATCTACAAGTGTATGTTATGATATCGAGTGTTAAGATTTGCTGTGTATTATGAAGAATAAAGGTGTAATTAGGCTTCTTCAAAATTTCTTGTCTTCCTTTAGATTTATTGCTGTTGCTGCTCATTTCAGGAGCAGAAAAAACAAAGTAAATGTTAAATTTACTTTCTCTAATATTAGAGGTTGGCTGAAGGGCCTTCTTGAGTTCCTTGGCTATTACATTTGTCTGCCTTGCTAGTTTGTTTTCTCTCTTCTGTGTGTATACTATTACAGAGTTACACTTCTATCTTGTTCAATTTTGGTGTATTTTCATCTCTGGATTTGTAATGCTTTGTTAATAAAGATGTGGGGCATTGTAAATTCTTAAAGCAGAAAAAGGTGAGTTGAGGGACAATGAAAAGATGGTAAAAGAACTATTCCCAAAGTGTGAGTCATTAGTCACTTTTAACTATAAATTCACTTTTTTTGGGACAGTAGTGACTACAAAGAAATCACCTAGTAAAATGGAAAAATAAAAACATTTCATTAGGAAATTCAGTTTACTTCCTAGTGGAAATGAAAGCATGCAGTTTGAATCATAACCAGCAAATCTTTGGCTCTCATCATTTTATCTATACCAATGAGGATAGGCATGGGAAGAATGGGACTTTCCAATGTGTTTCATAAAGTGTGATTTCTTTTTTCCCTGTAGAATAATCAAATAAACCCATTTTGTCTTTCAAATAGAATTTTCTGAGAACATCTTAATTCATATGTAGACTTGTCTTTATCCATTTTCTTCAGTAAACCATAAAATAAAAAAATTTATTGAAGTTTCGGCAGCCATTTGCCATTATTTTCCTTTCCTTGAATTTCTTGATATTTCGAACACTGCTGCAGGATGAGGTGTTGTATATATTAGTAAACAGGGTTCTCTTCAATGTTTGTTTCTTACTAAACAGAATGTCACGTTCCTTTTCCCTTATTTATTGACTTCCAACTGCCTGTGTTGGACAAATTAGAAAATGGCAACTTTTAAAATATTATATTTAAACATTTTGGCAGATCTTTTCTTCTTTTTCTCATGTAAAAATTGTCAAAGAAAAACTTGAAAAATATTTACTTTAAAAAAATAAACTGAAGAAAACAAATCACTGAGACTCTCTGAATCTGTTTTCTTATATATTAAAAGGATATGAAAGATAGAATTTGATTTTAAAATTTCTCGCAGCTCCAAGCTATCATGCATCTGACCAAATATTGTTTCTAGGACTGCAGAACTCTCTGCCTTGCTATCAAATTTGGTATTTCTGCCATTTTTTTTAGTGAACAAAATGTTAGAAAGTAAATTAGGACCTTGCGGTACAAAATCTGCCATGACTCCATTGTGAAAAGGGGCAATTAGCACTGTATTCCTTTGTTTGCCGCTGTTTCCTTTTGCCACTCTTATTACCAGTGAGGTTATTACCATTGGTCTTGCTGCTGAGGCTGGAAAGTGGGACTTCTCTAGGTCCTAAAGGAGAGGAGCCAGAAGCTCCTTGATAGAACCAGAGATTCATATTGCTGGCATAGAGATATCTACTTAAGAGCCATGACTAAAACGACCATTTAAAAACCTAGAAATTGTAGGTGAGAGGCAGGTCCTCTAATCTAAATTAAAAATACTATTTTAGAATCTGAGTTTGAGTCTGTCAGTTATGACTTCTGTGATTTATGTTTGAGCAAATCATTTAACATGTTTGAGCCACAGTTTTTAATTTGTAAAATTGGATATAGGGCTGATGTAGGAATACAATAAGTCAATTTATGTGAAAGAACTTGTAAAGTATAAGGCTCATTACACAGGTTACCTATGTTTTTGCTAAGAGTAAAAAGTTGTGACTATTTGTACGCAACAGATAAAATAACTTTTCCCTTTTTTTTCTATAACATAGCAGTTTATTATTTATATTTTATATTAAGAGACCTACATGGGTAAAATTGAGGTTAGCGTTTTAGTGTAATATTAGTTTTGAATTGGAGCTAGGAAACCTGGATCCACAACATCTCCTTGATATGAATTAATTTCTGTTACTGAAAATGAGGCATTATATGATTAAATAATTCACCTATGGTCACTTTAGCCTTGACTCCGCAGGAGAATAGAAGTGGAGAATTGTTGGTACTTTCAAGTGAATAAACTATTACGGAAAAAAAAGACAATTAAAAAATGGTTTGGGGGCCGGCCCTGTGGCTGACTCGGGAGAGTGTGGTGCTGGGAGCACCAAGGCCATGGGTTTGGATCCTATATAGGGATGGCTGGTGTGCTCACTGGCTGAGCGGGGTGCAGACCACCCCGTGCCGAGGGTTGCGATCCCCTTACTGGTCCAAAAAAAAAAAAAAAGGTTTGGTCCAGTCTCTGTTTTAATTAAGATAATTGCCAAGTTTTTCACTATTTTTATATCTAAGACAGTTGCAGGTCCTAATAGATCTGAAACTTCTTGACTCCTTTATCTTTCTTCTAGCATATATGAGTTGGCATTTGGCCCCCTTCAGTGTCAGTACAATTTTGGTGGGCCTCATACCTTTTATATAGGACTGTTTCAGGAAATTTTATTTACTTATCAAGCAGTAATAACAGCAGCTTTACCAACTGTCATTTGTGTTATGTGAGAAATAAATAATCTTTAGCATCACTAATCCAGGCTAGCCAGCATATGTTTTAAGATGACTACACATAGCATATGTGTGTGTGTGTGTGTGTGTATTTCTTCCTCATTACTCACATTCTGTTTTGAATTGTACTAAGCCAAAAATAAAAATTGTCTATCATATTGTTCATTTTTACTAATGGTTGTATTTTTTTAAAAGGGAATAAATTAGTTATTTCCTCATCCTTTAAATTCATAAACAAACATTATAGAACACTGCAAATTCATACTATTGACTTGCTCCTCTCAATGGGTATTTAGAGAATACAAAATGTAAAACATTTATAAGTATTCCCCTATGTTTTCTTTAAAGAGTTTTATAGTTTCAGGTCTTATGTTTAAGTCTTTCATCCAATTTGAGGTGACTTTGGTATATGGTGAGAGGTATGGATTTACTTTCATTCTTCTACGTATAGATGTCCAGTTTTCTGAGCACCATTTAATAAAGAGGGAGTCTTTTCACCAGTGTATGTTCTTGGTGTCTTTTTCAAAGATCAGTTGGCTGTAAGTTTGCAGGTTGATTTCTGGGTTCTTGATTCTATTCCATTGGTCTGAGTGTCTGTTTTTATGCCAGTACCATGCTGTTTTGGTTACCATAGCTTTGTAGTATAAATTGAAGTCAGGTAGTGTTATGCCTCCAGCTTTATTTTTTTTGCTCAGGATTGTTTTGGTTATTTGAGATCTTTTTTTGTTCCATATGAATGTTAGGATTGTTTTTTCTATTTCTGTGAAAAGTGTCATTGGTATTTTGATGGGGATTGAATTTAATCTGTTGATCACTTCGGGTAGATTGGAGATTTTCACAATGTTAATTCTTCTAATCCAAGAGTATTTATTGTCTTTCTGTCTTTTGGTGTCCTCATTTATTTCTTCAGGCAGTGATTTGTAGTTTTCATTGTAGAGGTCTTTCACCTGTTTGGTTAAATTTATTCCTAGGTATTAATTTTTTCGGTTACTATTGTAAACGAGCTGGATTTCTTGATTTCTTTTTCTGCTAGTTCATTGTTGGAGTATAAAAATGCTACTAATTTTTGTGTGTTGATTTTGTATCCTGCAAATTAGCTGAAATCATTTATCAACTCTGAGAAGTATTTAGGTTTTTCTATACATAGGATCATGTTATCTGCAAACAAGGATAATTTGGCTTTGTCTTTTCCAATCTGGATGCCCTGTATTTCTTTCTCTTGCCTGAATGCTCTGGCTAGTACATCCAGTACTATTTTCAATAGGAGTGATGAGAGAGTGGGCATCCTTGTCTTGCTCCTGTTCTTAAGAGAAATCTTTTCAGCTTTTCTCCATTAAGGAAGATATTGGTGATGAGTTTGTCATATATGGCTTTTATTGTGTTGAGATACTTTCCTTCTATACCTGATTTGCTGAGAGTCTTTATCATCAATGGATGTTAAATTTTGTCAAATGCTTTTTCTGCATCTATTGAGATAATCATATCATTTTTGTCCTTGATTTTGTTGATGCGGTGTATCATATTTATTGACTTGCATATGTTGAACCATCCTTGCATCCCTGGGATGAATCCCACTTGATTGTGGTGTATATATATTTTTTGATGTTTTGCTGTATTCTATTTGCTAATATTTTACTGAGGATTTTTGCATCTATGTTCATCAAAGATGTTGGACTATAGTTTCCTTTTTTGTTATATCTTTGTCTGGTTTTGGTATCAGAGTGATGCTGGCCTCATAGAATGAGTTTGGGAGAATGGCCTCTGTTTCAATTTTTTGGGAAAGTTTGAAGAGAATTGGTATTAATTTTTCTTTAAAGGTTTGGTAGAATTTATCAGTAAAGGCATTGGTCCTGGGCTTTTCTTATTTTTTGTTGTTGGGAGACAACTGATTACTGCTTCAATCTCATTGCTTGTTATTGGTCCGTTCAGGTTTTCAATTTCTTCTTGGTTCAGTCTTGGTAGTTTTTATGTGTCCAGAAATTTATCTATTTCCTCTGGGTTTTCAAATTTTTTGGTATGTAGTTGTTTATAATAGGCTCTAATGAGTCTTTGTATTTCTGTGGTATTGGTTGTAATGTCTCCTTTTTCATTTCTAGGTTTTTTTTGGGGGGGTCTTCTCTCTTCTTTTTTTAGTTAGCCTAAGTAATGGTTTGTCTATTTTGATTATCTTCTCAAAAAAACAACTTTTTGTTTCATTGGTATTTTGTACAATTTTTTAAGTTTCTATTTAATTTAGTTCTGATCTTAATTATTTCTTTCCATCTAGTAATTTTGGGATTGGATTGTTCTTGTTTATATAGTTCTTTCAGGTATAGCATTTGGTTACTTATTTGAAATCTTTGTATTCTTTTGATGTAAGCATTTATTGCAATAAACTTCCCTCTTAGTACTGCTTTTGCAGCATCCCACAGGTTTTGGTATGATGTATCTTTATTTTCATTAGTTTTGAGAAATTTTTTATTTCCTGTTTAATTTGTTCTTGTACCCATAGGTCACTCTGGAGCATGTTGTTTAATTTCCATGGGTTTGTGCAGTTTTCAGCATTTCATTTGTTATTGATTTCTTGTTTTAATCCATTGTAGTCTAAGAAGATACTTGAAGTGATTTCGTTTTTTTTAAAATTTGTGCAGGCTTGACTTGTGACCGAACTTGTGGTCTATCCTGGAGAATGTTCCATGTGCTGATGAGAAGACTATATATTCAGGTAGTCAGTTGTCCACCTACCCCGCAGCAGTGGCTGCTATGGCTGCTGCTGTTGGATGAAATGTTCTGTAGATATCTGTCAAATCCAAGTGGTCTAAGGTATGGTTTATGTACTGTGTTTTTCTGCTGAGTTGTTGTCTAGATGATCTGTCCAGTGTTCAGAGAGGGGTGTTCAGGTCACCCACTGTTTTCATATTTGGGTATCTTTCCTTAGGTCTAATAGTGTTTGCTTCATATATATGGGTGCGCCAATTTGGGGTGCCTATGTATTTATGATTGTTATGTCTTCTTGCTGGATAGATCCCTTTATCATTATATAGTGGCCTTCTTTGTCTCTTTCATAGTTTTGGTTTAAAGTCTATTTTATCTGATGTAAGAATAGCTACTCCTACTCATTTTTGATTTCCATTTGTGTGGTTTTTTCCATCCCTTTACTCTTAGTCTGTTTGTGTCTTTACAGGTGACATGATTCTCTTGTGGACAGCATATCGTTGGGTGTAGCTTTTTTTTTTTTTTTCCTTTTTGTCTTTTTTCGTGTCCGGCAACGGATTGCAACCCTCAGTGTCGCACCCGTACTGGACCGGGACCGGCAATGGGATCGCAACCCTCGGTGCTGCGTCTGCACCTCGCTCAGCCAGTGAGCGGGAACCGGTCTGTATGTGGGATCCGAACCCTCGGTGGGAGCACTGCCGCGCTCCCAAGCGGCGCACTGTAGCAGTGCGCCACCGGGCTGGCCCTGGGGTAGCTTTTTAATTCAATCAGCCAGTTTGTGTCTTTTGAGTGGAAAATTTAATCCATTTACACTTAGGGTTGTTACTGAAAGGTATTGTCTTACTTCTGAATTTATTGATTTTTATTTGGATGTTTTAAATATCTTCAGTTACTTTCTTCCTTTTTATTGTTTGTCTTTGGTGTTTGTTGATTTTTGGAGGTGGTAAGATACAGTTTCTTTCTCTTTCTCATTTGCATCTTTGTTCTACCAGTGGGTTTTGTCCTTTTTTTGTATTCATAGTAGTGATTATCATTTTTTGGACTCCAGATGCAGGACTCCCTTGAGGATTTCTTGTAGGACGGGAAATTCTACAAGAAATCCTCAAGGATTTGATTATGGTGGTGAACTCTTGTAGTTTTTGTTTCCCTGGGAAATACATTATTTCTCCTTCTTTTTGAAGGATAGCCTTGCTCAGTATAATATACTTTGATGACAGTTTTTTTTCTTTTAGTGTTTTGAATATATCATCCCATTCTCTTCTGGTAGAGTTTCTGTTGAGAAGTCTTAGTCTAATGGGGACTCCCTTATGAGGGAGGGGACTTTATGATTTTCTCTTGCTGTTTTTAGGATTCTCTCTTTGTCTTTGAATTTTGCCAGTTTGACTATAATGTACCTCAGAGATGACCTTTTTGGATTGAGTGTTTGGGGATCTTTGAGCCTCTTGAATCTAAAGGTTCATGTCTCTTCCTATACCTGGGAACTTTTCTACTATTGTTTCATTTAATATGTTCTCCATGCCTTCTCCTTTCTCCTCCCCTTCAGGAATAGCCATGATTTGGATGTTTGTGCTCTTAAGTTTATCTGCCATCTCTCTTAGATCTTCTTCATTTTAAAAAAGTTTTTTCTTTTCTTTTTGTCTGCCTGAGTTATTTTGAAGAGACTGTCTTCAAGATCAGAATTTTTTTCTTCTGCTTGCTTTAGCCTGCTCCTTAAGCTTTCAGTGTGTTTTTTATTTTGTTGAATGACTCCTTCAGTTCCATGACTTCTGCTACATTCTTTTTAAAAGTATTGATCTCTTTGTAAATTTCCTCCTTCATGTCCTGGATAGTTTTACTAAGTTCATTGTGTTATCTAACTGCATCCTCTTGTATCTCATTGAGTTTCCTTAAGATTTTTACTGGAATTCCTTTTCAGTCATTTCAAGGATTTCTTGCTCTGTAGGGTGTGGAACTTGAGAGTTATTATATTCATTTGGTGGACTCATATTTTCTTGTTTCTTTTGTATTTCTAGTATCTCTACATTGATGTCTGGTCATCTGGTAGAACATTTTCTTCTTGTATTACTCTCCTTCCCTGGACTCTGCTGGTGACCCTCCTTATGTCAATGGAGTCAAGTAGTCAGCAGTCCACCTACCCAGCAGCAGTGCCTGCTGCTGTGGTAGCAGGCTACCCTTGCATTGTTGGTGCTTGTGGAGGTGGCTTTGGGAGGCTTCCTGCATGGCAGCTGTGGTTCCAGAAGTGGCAAGCTGCTCACACAATGATGGTGGCTGCCTGTTGGTGCCAGTGGTGGCAGTGACTTTAGCACTGGCAGTTATAGCAGCTGCCCACTTTGCTGCAGTGTCCACAGAGGTGACCTGTGCAGATACGGTGTCTGCAGTGGCAGCAGGGTTACCATGTGGGGGCTGCAGCAGTACCAGTGGCTGCAACTGCCTCCCTTGTGACTGTAGTGTCCACAGTGGCAGTGGGATTACCTCATGGGGGCAGCAGTGTAGTTCAGCTTTTCAGTAGGTAGACCGCATTTTTCTTTTTGATGTATGTGATTTACATGGAGTTTAATAGGATCTATGTATTACTATAAATAATAGTGAATATAAATTTGTCTCTTTAAAACTCTATGATTCTTAACATTGAGACTTTAGATACAGTAATTCTCAATTTGTCTTTCCATAAATAGAAAGGATTTTTTAAAATGTCTGCTAGGAGAAATGTCAATTTATACTGAGTCATCATAGATGAGTAATATTCTAGAAATTCTTTCTCTTAGTTTAGACTTCTTAAATGTTATTTTGTCTGATTTTTCAAACACAGTCTATTGTAGTTTAAGTGTTATGTCAAACAAAACATGTAGTGGCAGTTGTTACAGAATCCTTTTCTATAAAAGTTCACACATTTCTTGGAATAAAGTTGGATATTTTCCTTAATGTTAAGCATCAAGAATTACTGGTCAATAGTAACAGACATGGAGCATCTAATAGGCATGTCTAAATAAAAAGCATTGTTTTAGAGGTCCTTTCATTGGAAATTTTAATGTACATTTATGTTCATAGGGGTTGTATATAGAGTGACTATTAAGTTATTACCAAAATGTACATTATAGAAATAGAAATTATAGGTCTTTCTAGCGTCATGCAGTATGGGCACTTTTTTGAGCGTGTATTTCTACACATTTGAATATTAGTGTGGATATATATCTTTATGTTTTCTATTTTAATGTTTCACACAGGGGAGTCACATCATATGTTTACTTAAATATGTACATACAAAGTTGGCCAAAAAGGAAGAGAGAGAAATTAAAACATGACACTCAATGAATCTGTGCCCTGGAATGAATGTGAGATATAAATCTGCTGTTCCTGTCAGTCTCAGCTCCCTTTTGGGTGTTGGGCTGAATGTGTTTCTAGGGCTTAAAGATATGTATTATTTTTTTATACAATACGAAATACAAGCCAACTAATTTATCTGGTACTCAACCAAAGAAAAAAGATAACTGGTTATGAGAGAATGTTGGTCTTCAACATGCCATTGCCTTGGGGATTTTGACCATATGCAAATTTTCCTTCTGTGCTGACTTTAGTTCTTAATCACTGAGAAAGAGGCCACTTAACTGTAGTGATTTTTTTTTGTTTTTTTTTTTTTAATTAAAAATTTCTAATAGTCTGGTAGACTATGTTAATCTATTTTAAATATACTTTAATAAATTTCTGCACCAGTCTCTGATGATGATCTCTCAGATGCACATCTTAGGGAGCCTGAAGAAGCATAATACTGTGGGTAAAATGATCAGTTTTGATATCAATCCCCTTTAAGCTCAGACCAGTTTCTTTACTGCTACCACCCTACCTTTATGCTGGTAAGTTTTTTTTTTTGTTTTTACATACATCCAAACTACTTTCAAAATGAATATTATTTAATCTTGTCTGTCATGTAATTTATACTAAATCGTTGAGGAGTAAATGAACATCTGTTTTACATAGATATAATTGTCCCTCATTTTAAAGATAAAAAAACTGACTCGCAGATGAAAAGAAATGTGTTGTCTTGGGTTAAAAAATCTGGGTTCTTATGAAATTATATAATCTTTGGAAAATCCTTGTCTCTGAGTCTGCTTTCTCATTTGTAAAATGGGATCTTATCTCCCCTGAAAGTTTATTGGGCAGACTGAATTAAATTATCAACATGAAAATGCTTTGAAACTGTAAGGTTCCATACAAATATAAAACCGGGATGTTCCAATACACTACCAATTGTAAGACTGCTAGCTTAATAACATTGGAAAAGAACAGTTCAGTGCTCTTTTTACTGTTTTCACACAGCCTCAGGTCTAGAGACACTTGATCTGTTTATTATTAGGTCTGTGTCACATTACTAATACTTATCATAAAAACAATTTTGCAAAACTCTTGTTCTCATGAGTCCAAACTTCAAAGGTTATTTTATACCTGTAATGTATTGTGGAAGTCCTGTGAATAATGATTTCAAAAATCCCAGATAATGAATGTTTCTTTTCTCCCCTATCCCAGTTGAAACTTATTTATATTTGTAAACTACAAAAAGAGGTATGTAATAGATCCCTTTTCCCAATAGTCTTATTCTTCCTGTTTTAACCCAGGTTTTCCCTGAATATGGGATAAAAGTCTTGGTGACCAATTTATTTATTTCATTCATCTCTTCTGAAAAAAATGAATATAAATAAACTAGATTAGTTATGACATTTAAGTTTTATGGTATGAATGTATGGCTGACAATAAGTTATCTGATTATTATTGCCCAGTAGCATTCTAAATCTGTCAGAAAAGTACTTCCTTGATCCTTTTCAAGTTTATTTACCTTTCTGATTAAATCTTGGAGGACATTCTGATTCTGATAGCTGATATTCTTGTCTTAAATATCTAATACAATGTACATTGAAATAATGGGATTATATTCTGAAACCTACAACAAGCTAATAGAAATTCAACTGTCATAGGAGAAAATGTGAAAATGGAAGTCTGTAATCAATAAATGAAAAAAA